AAAACATTTTCAGTTATTTACGTAAAACAGATCACTATTATATATTTGTATAAACAGCATGAATTTTTCTTCTTTGAAGCAATTATCTTTTAAACTTTGAGAAGTATGTTAGACTTAGTGCATGATTTTCATTCCTGAAAATGATTTTCCACTATTCTTAAAAAGGCAACTTTTGAAGCCTTACTAACATTAAGAAGTAGCACTGGGATGTTGGCTAGAGGATTTCAGGTAGTTTCCACTTACTGTGCTCTTGTAATTGTCACCGTCTGAGAATACTAGTGTCATTGTATCACTGTAGTGATTATTTTTGTCAGTATAATATATAGTCTTCAATAATGGAAAGACCTATATGTTTAAAAAGAGTAACATTCTAAGAGAGAGGCTCCATTCTGGTGTCACTCCAATATGTCTTTACTCTGATCTCTAATTATTTAACTGGCTTTCAGCTCATTGGTTTCTGTCATTACTCTTCTCCAAAACTACAATTCAAAGGCCAAAAAGCAAAACAAGTATGAACTGTTGTATGAAAAACCAATTATATAGGATTCAATAGCAATGACTTTGGGGACAGTGCATGTCTGGGCACAGGTCATTAGGAACCAGAATTGACTGAAGAGAAACTGCTATCCTGAAAAAAACCCCCCACATTAATTCTTCCATGAAATAACTCCTATATATATTTTTATGATTTAAAAAAAAAACCAAACACAAAACATTTTTTTAGTATGTGTAACTATAATATGGATGTCATACATTACAGTTTTATGGCTATTACTTTCCTAGTTTTTATATATGATAATCTCACATTTTAAATTCTGTCATCTCCTAAGAGTCCCTGGACTACTGTCTCTTTCATCTTGAAACACCACTTAAGATGCATAGTAATTAATTTTAAATACTCAGTCTTATCACCAGGACATGCAGGATGAATTTGAAATTTATCATCTCTGTATTCAGCTCTCTATGAAGATCAACAGGTTTCTTTGTAATTGTCAATAGTTATAAATTAATAAAAGCATAAATAGAAAAATTAAACCAAAATATGTTTTTAAAGTCCCTGTATTTTTACTATGGAGACTTTAGTACTAAGAACTGATACTTGGGTTCTTTATGGTTTCAAGAAAAAAGTTTATCAGTGGGGAACAATAATGAATGAATTAGAAATTCAAGCACTAAATTCCTCAGAGCCTGGGGTTTTACAATTTCAAAAGGATTAAACAAGACTAAGAATTAAAATTCTAAGAATGGCATGGCAGCAGCAACAGACCTTGTCAAACTTCACAAGAGGGTTATTTTCAGCATCAGCCAAAGGCTAATTCTTAAGAGACACAGGGAGTCATACCTTCGCTGTCCAACAATTCTGACACGAGCTATCCTTCCCATAGCATTCTTTACTCTTAAAGAGTTCAAGAATTCATTGCAATGACCACACAGTACTCAACAAGTATGAGGTTTAGTAGGGAAGTAAGCTATAATTTAGGAACAGGATGGACTCAGAATACAGTTCTCAGTTCCGGTCCATTTCTTAGTTGTTCCGACGGGTAGGCCCCTCTCTGGCCCCCAGCCACTGCCTTCATGGACAATGTTGCCACATTAATGTCACTGGTAAGTGCTTATAGGCACTCTTCTCTGCCATCAGGTCTCTAACTCTACTAAACAAGTGTTCCAGGTACTCTACACCATCAGCCAAGTCTAGAAGCTGCTCTGTTATCTTATTTTATAAGGTAAGCCTTGCTGTGCTAAATGGCCAGATACTTCACTTTGTAAACAGGGTCTGTCCAATGTTATTCAGTTCTCTTGTTCCAGAAGTCAAGAAGCTGCACTCTTGATTCTGGGTCTCCCCTAGTACCACTCCTCTGCAACAGCTTGTCTCTGGCACTATAGTACGATTCCTGGTTTGAGAAGGTTTAATGCAAAGACATGAGATCCAAATAATGTGCTCCAATTTCAATGAAGTCCAGCCTTCTGCTTCTGGAATGGCCTATTTTAAGCCTAGTGTATTGGCAAAATTGGCCAATCCTCTCATTCATGCCGTAGTGTGCCATTGAGTTAGAACCAACTGATAGTTGAAGAGACAGTAAACTACAAGAAAGGGGAGATTGCCCATCTTCTTCCCTGGAGCAGCTGGATTTGATCCACCTTTGGTACAGCACCACAGCTTCTTCCCACCAGAGTTCCTTTCATTCATGTTGCATACCCTTGTGTTGGTAGTCTCACTTCAATACAAGATCTAAGCATTTTACTTGCACTAAGAAACATAACAGGACACACACATATTTGCATACTCTCAACTCAAACATTTGGTGGGAATGACAAGTCTATGCTGGAAAACATAAAAAATATAAAATCAATCCACTGAAAAAAGAATGAAACCAATTTTGTTTCATACTTTATCCATACTCCAAATTTGGTTCAAAAATTTGAAGTGTTAACATAAGAAGTTGCATAATGAGAAATGCTCTTAAATGGGAGAAAATGAAATTATGTGAAGCCAGTTATTCTATTTTCAAAACCTCTCAGATGCTAAGATTAATAATTCACATACTTTTGTAGGTTTTATTGTTCTTTAAAAAATTACATTCATGAAAAGAATACTTCAATAAAATATAAATCTTATTCACAGAGATATGTTCCGGTGGCAGAAATATATTTTTAGGGATATTCAGGAACTTTATTGATCATCATCAGTGTTGCAGAAAGTACACATTAATCACTATAAGAAATAAATAGTAGCACAAGATAGGCTTTCTTTTTACCAAAGTGCAGAATATTAGAAGTGAATTTTTTGTTATAGAAATTTTTAAAAGCTGAAGATAGAAGTAAAGGAATTATATTTGCTAACACAATCCAGATTGGTAATCATTATATTTTCCTGCCAGAGATAAAGCATATACATACAGAAAATAGACATAAAGTCCTAGATGAGAAGTGAACAAGAGTACACTTAACATTAAGCAATGTTCTATCTTATTATATTGCTGTGTTTGCTTTTCTTTTTGATTCTAGTCCTAATTGGCTAAAGAGTGGTAGCAATGTATTAAATCTTTTTTTTTCTTGTTGTGTACCATCAAATTGGATCCGACTGGCACTGGAGATTGCCCCTTGAAGTGGAAATTCAATTTCTACTTAAAAATAAATACCAGTTCCTGAACTTGGCAATCAAGATGCTTCTATCTACTAAAGACTCTAGCTACAGTGGGCAATGAGTGGCCTAAAAAAATGACACTCAAATCCCTCTTCCTTTTTCAGCTTCCGAAAGTGGATTCACTCAGTCCATTAGGAACCACTTTCAGGGCCTTCTGACATGCAACAGAAATTCTGTAGACCTTCCAATTGAACAGAACAGCTTAGTGTACATTTGCCCAGTCCTTTCTCTCATAGCCTGACTGGGAGTATCCAAGAATCTTGTCAATTTCCTCCTGTATTCTGGGTTCTCTCTCTTTCCCCATCATAAAATGGCCCTTATTAGCTAGTAAACCCCAATGTATGCATGTCTTGCTCTGAAACCTTCTACACAACCCTAATAAATGTTGTGGTGTTTTTTAGCAGACCCTCCCACAATGGTTATGTCCTTGCTTTTCCCTTTAGGTTATAAAAATTTCATACTCTATGAAACTAAAGAAAGAAACTAGGCTAAAGGAGACTCACTCCAGTAGGGAGAGAAGAGAGAGATGGAGATAGAGGGTGCTGGAGGCTGTAGCAGGGACCACATGGAAGGGAAGACTCGCTGGGCATCAGAAAACTCCCTAGAGGAATACTTCTAATCTTCACTGATCCCTTCCCTTCTATCATTATGTAGGTCCCCAAAACCCTCTTCTAAAAAAACCAAACAAATCATCAGTGTTATCACATTTAGAGAAAACTAAGGACATTTCAGATAAGAAAAGCAATTGATTGAAGAGCAAGATCTCAATGCCCAGCTCAGAGAAGATATTGCAGTCTCAAACAGGAACGAATGTCTTAAAAGTTACTTGTACCAAAACTCAAGCAGCCCAGTCCCAGTGTCTCTTTCTCAGAAAAATCTTTAGTCTTTCCCACACCCAAGGGTCCTGTTTCTCTTTTAGAGGTTCCCCACTCTCTGAGCTACCAAAGATCTTTTTCATAGATGGTACGTTCTCACTTAAGTGATATTCTCTCACACACAATACTAACCTTCTTCCTCCACACTGTGAAGCACGCAGAGGAATGGGGACCGAGAACAACAAACTGACACAGAAATATACTCAAAAAGCCCAATGGACACACAAACAGAAAGACAAAGGCATAAACAAAAACTAGCCAAGGCCTCTGTATTCTTTGTGTTTGTATAAATTACGCTCTCTTCCTGACTTAAGCTCAGCATAGTTGAACAACTTGAATCTGGGCAAAAACTTTAAACTCCCAGGTCAGGGACATTTTCCAGCTGCACTTCTCTTCCTATCAGTCCAGATCCTTTCATGTTATTTGTCTGAGTGCCTACAGTTCTTCCCACTTAATCATGATGATGAACAGAACAGAGAGAAACATGCAACTGAGAGAGATCAATGGTTTTAATGTAGACGATATAGAGAACGTCCCCTCTCTGGGTCATGCTTGAAGTCAGGTTGTGCTGACAAATTCACAATTCATTCTGTAATGAGAAGGGGTGAAAGGAAGTTAAGACAGAAGAGTCCAGGATGGATCATAGATGGAGATGAGGGGCAAACTTCAACAATAGCATAAGCTTCTTCCTCACCCATCTTCTCCCTTTTGGGCAGCTGAGTTCAGATACAAAGAGTCAGACCAAAAGCTCTTCTTCCTTCCTTATCAGCAGTCAAATGTCTTAACTGGGATTGGACTCGCTCTGGGATACATGTTCATGCTGCTGGCTCTCAAGGAGGAGTGACAAGCTGTAGGCTGTGGGTCACTGGCCTTGGAAAGACATGAGATGGGCAGTGGCTAGGAGCCAGCTACTATGTGCTTCTTACTTAACCATTTCTCTAATCATCCATTCATAGTGGGGTTTACAATCTTGTCACTTCCTATAGATCCCCTTTGTTCTCTGGGAACCCAGCCAGTAACTGGAGCTTATCTTCAGGAAGATCCAGGTGGAGGGCCTGTTCCTGAGGTAGCTGCAACTTCCCCTCTGCATCAGGGATTTTATTCTGCAGGGTATGTATCAGCTGGAGGAAGGCTTGGTACCTGCGAGGAAGACGTATAGGTGTGAGAGGATGCAACCTCAGCGAGACCACTCCAGCTTACAGCCTATATCCCTTGCCTCACCTATGAAGCTTGTCCTGTTCTTCTTCTGCCTGATTCTTGAGGCTTCTGAGCTCCTCACACTGTCTCTCAACCTTCTGCTGCGTTCTTCTCTGCCGATCCTTTACTTCTGCCACTTGCTGCAGATGTTCCTCCTGCCAGGACCAAGAGGACAGATGAGGCTCAACAGGAATCAAATCCTTAGAGGCACCTGCACAATGCTTATCCTAGACTCATCTCAAGACTAAGATCCAGAGGGAAAGAAGGATCTTGCTAACTTTAGGAAGGAACAGAGATCTAGAGAAAAAGAAAGGTTCACTTTGAGCTCTTCTAGAATGAAGTCCTTTGAATGGAAGGGATACAACACTGCTAATAACACTTATTTAGCTTGCTATATTTCAGTTACCCTTTTAAGCACTTTTTATAATTTCCTTAGTCCTCCAGATGACAAATAGGTGTTATTATAGCTCCTATTTCAGGGGCAAAGGAACAGATGCATAGAAACTTAGGTGGCCAGCCTAAGGCTATACAGTATTAAGTGGCAACATCTAGAATTCAAGCTCATGTTGTTACTACCCTAAACCACTTCAAAGAAGAAAACCAGATGAAGGCTTAACTGGGAGAAGGCACAGCATGGCATGATGGTGTGCATTGCTCCCGTGGGGAGATGAACCTACCTGCTGCAGCTGCCACTGCTTCTGCTGAGCTCTGCGTTTCTCCATGGCCATTTGTTTCTGGGGGTAAAGACAGCAGAGGGAGGAGCAAAAGGAGAGTGTATTCTGGTTGGATTTTGGAAGGTTAAAATGGGTACAGTTCAATCTGCTCACCCCTTCCCTCCTCCTCTCTTTGTCCCTCCCTTCCTCCTATTCCTGGTCCCTGAAGAGACCTTGGCCTGGAGCTGTTCAAGGGCCTGCTGGAGTTGTGTCTGTTTTCTCTTGATCTCCTCTATTTGGGACAGGGCCTGTGGCAGGGCACTTGTGATGGCTTCCACGTGCTGCTGATAGGTTGCCTTTAGTTCTTTCCAGTGCTCTTTGGCTTCAGTAGCTTTTTGCCCTGAAACGAGCCAACAGAAATGAGGGAATGGGTGAGGCTGGGCTACCCACCGTCCTGTAATATTGGAACTATCAGCCAAACGTATTGCGATGGGACAGTCTGCTGTTAGGGACCTCTCTAAAGTACTCAAGAGCAACGGTGTCTCTCTGGAGACTAAGGTGCGCCTGATACAGGCCATGGTTTTTGCAATCACTTGTTATGCATCAGAGTTGGACAATGACTAGGGAGGATAGAAGGAGAATTGATGCCTTTGAGCTGTGGTGCTGGAGAAGAGTATTGAATGTACCATGGACTGCCAAGAAAACAAACAGATTCATCCTAGAGAGGGTTAAACCAGGCTACTCCTTGGAGGCAAGGATTCTGGGGCTTCGTTTAACATACTTTGGACATGTTGTAAGGAGAGACAAATCTTTGGAGAGGGACATCATGCTGGGTAGAGTAGAGGGACAGCGCAGGAGGGGAAGACCCTCTATGAGGTGGATTGATTCAGCGACTGGGGTAATGGGGATGGGTGTGTCAGGGGCAATGAGATTGGCACAGGATAGAGCAGGGCTTAGGGCTGTTGTACATAGGGTCGCTATGAGTCACAAACAACTCGACGGCACATAACAACAACAACAATCAGCCAAACAGCTGACCTGATACAATTCTTTCTTCCCCACTCAGGTTACATTCCACCGCAACTCTGGGCCTACTTACGGCTTACGTCTTCAGAAGCCAACAGGTCCAGACCCTGGGAAGCGTCCTCGTGCACTAGGAAGTCCTGCACAAAGCCCACTAGTTGTAGCTGGCTAAACAGCAGCTTGTCCTTCTTCCGGGAGTCCTTTTAGATGAGGAGAGAGACAGGGAACATCTCCTTTCACTAAATCCAGCAAGGCTCTCGTCCTGACTGCTCACCATAAAGGCTACTCAGAGTCTCCGCAGGAGGACTCAAGGCCAAACCTGGACTTGCCATCTTGCACATACCATCACAAACTCAGCCAGGATCTGTGCTGGTAGCCCTGCCTCCTCCTGCAAGCCAACAGGTTCCAGAAAGGCACTCACTTCAGCCAAGGTCCTAGAAGTGCAAGAAATCCAGACAATTATAATTTCCAGTGCTTGTTCTGAAGGTGACCATATATGCAAATAGGTAAGAGTATATGCCAACATTGTGTTTGTCCCCTCCTGACTAAGATGTACACAAAGATCTCAAAGGCTATGGTGTGGGAACAAGGGCAGCGTTTATGATGACAAAAGGGACAAGGGGATGAAATGAAGAGCAAGGAACTCTATGATGCAATGGGTTTGAGTTCTGAAAGACCTGGTGATCCCCTTCTATACACATTATCAGAAAACCTCTGTGGGGCAGTTCTAGTCTGAACTCAAGAGGCTGAGTGGGAATCACTTTAGGAAAACCAACCAGAGTAAAATGAAAGAGTAGGGGGAATGCGATCCTTAACAGGCAGTAACTACTGAGGAAGCACTATTTGAATCTTGATTTTTAAGGCAATCAGGGAGATATCGCAGAGAAGAGGAAGATAAGAGAAAGGCTGTGAAAAATCACTGAAGGCTTCCTCCAATAACTGGACAAGGGCTCAGGGCAGAAAGTGAGGTGTCTGTCCCGCTCTCCACGTTCAGGGATGGGGCAGCCTGTTAGGGGCAGCAAGGAACACGAGACATAAATGAAATAGCCCATCCAGGGTGCTTCTAGGGTGCAATATCTTCAATTCAGTATAGGTGACCTGTGAACTCAGAAACTCGGAGGATCAAGAGAAACTGAAGCGCCGCCTTCTAGAACACGCCCCTGGAAAGTGTGTGTTTATGAGGAGACCAGCAGTTTCTAGGCCAGGCCGTTCTACTGGGGACAGGCAGGAATCCTCTCTGGAACCTAACACTGGGGGACAGTGATCAGGGTCCCTATCCCACGGTGTGAATCCCCAACAATCACACAGCGGAGGAGGGAGGCTGTAGGCAGGAGTGTGTACGATCCCTCCGCCCTCGCCCCCGTTCATTCCTGGTTACCCTTGGCAGCAGACACTCACTTTAATGCTTCAGTCTCCATTTCCGTGACTGTGCCTGGACCCTCCATTCTTCTCGAGCCTATCCGCCAATTTTACCGGCCGGATGTTTTGAATTTCCGCTCACTCCGCGTCGTGGAAGATGATTGGCTTTCGGTTGGAAGGCCGGAAAGCCTGTAGCGTGCATTCTAATTGGCTAACGTTGCTTCAGGCAGGCCCACTTCTCCTGCGCAGGCGCAATTGTGACGGGACCAAGGCCAGCGCGCGTTCTGCGCATGCGTGCGCTTTGGAAGGCGGGGTGGAGAAGGCGGGGCTAGAACTGAGTTAAGTATCCTGCCTTCTTTTTTTTTAAAAAAAAAAAAAATTTTTTTAAATTTTATTAGTTTTAATTAACATTTACAGGGTTTTTGGGTTTTCATTCCTTCATTGCTGCACCATTCTCTCTACCCTCCTCCCCAGTTTGGTCTCCTTCCCCCGCCCTCCGAATGTCTGTTTTAATTGTCCAGTTGCCACAGTGCTTGTCAAAAGCCAGTTCTGATTAATCTCCTTTGTCACTGTGTCCTTTGCCATTCCATATCACTCCTCCCTGAGAGAGACTTAACACTGATTCATAAGGAAAAGGGGATGGCATATTCTCTTAGCTACTTCCTGCTGAAAAGGGACGCTGTGGGTTTCAGGGTGAAGATCTTCTCTCACTACTCTAAAGGGCCCCTTTGGCAGTAGGAAACACATAGACTATGATGGAGACTGATTTTGGAATTTAGATGCACTCTTATTAATTGTGCTTAGCCATACATGTTCATATCCTTGAAGATGTATCATGGGGGTGTTGCAACCTAGAAGACACAAATTTAACAAGTTATAAGTACATGAGTCAAAAATTATGGAAAAGTAAAAGAAAAGATGGGAGAAAGATGTTAAATTTGGACAACAGAAGAAGTTGATAGAATTCACTTTATTAGAAACACGTTACTGTGGTAGAAAAAGAGTGAAGTCGTCTAAGACAGTGGGCGTAATGTGACGAAAGCAGTGAACCTGGAGAAATTAAAGGAGGGAGCACAGTGATTTTTCAAAGAAATGAATGCCTTTAAGAGACCCATGGAGGTACAGTGATGGGAAAGAGAGTCCCAACAAAGCTCACGGGGCTGCCTGAATGGACAGGATGGATTTAATTTCCAGGGAAATCAAAAGATCTGATAGTCCCTATTGACTTGTAGTTGTGATGTGCCTTCAAGTCAGAACCAACACAGTTCCTTCAGTGGGTTTTCAGAAGCAGCAATCACACCTAAGGAGATTTCCCATCATTACCCTGTGGAGCAGTTGGTGTATTGAAGCTTTTGTTCTTGGTATTGCAGAGCTCTGCTTACCACCAGGCCAGAAAAGAAAGGAAATAGATGCTCAAAGAAAGCAGATCTGCAGGGGACTTTGTCTGGTATTAAGCCCAGTATTGGTTAGTGATTGTTGGAAGAAACAACAACATAGTGCTAGGAAAAGAATCGTGGTGTGTTTGTTTGTTTGTTTGTTAGGTACCTTCCAGTTGAGTACAACTCAGCGACCTTATAACAACCGAATCCGAATCCAGTCCAATCCTGTGCCATCATCACTGTCTCTGGCACACTACAGTCACTTTGTCAACCCACCTGGTTGAGGATCTTCCTCTCCATTGCTGTCCCTCATCTTTCCAAGCATGATGTCGCTCTGCAAAGATTAACTTCTCCTAGCATCAAGCCCAGAGTATGTGAGAGGAAGCTTCATTGTTTAAAGGCACATTAGTACATTGTGCAAAGGGCATATTGACTATTTCCATCATCCAAAACGATGGACAGCTTCTTAATCCCTGAGTACTTTGAGTAAAGTAGATAGACAGCCTTTGTCTGAGGCTCAACTCAACCAAAAGGAACCATTTTATAACTGACCCTCCAGCAATCTTTGGAGGCTGTAAATCACGTGTGGGGAGATTGCCTGTCTTTCACCCAAAAAGCCACTGGTAGAGTCAAATCCGCAGAAGCACCTCTACAGTAGCAGTGCAAATCACTATGAGCTAAACCCTTAGAACACCATTGTCTGAAGCAGGGCGGAGTGGGGACAAGCTAATAGTTTTGGGTCTGAATTCACACCTAACTGACCATCCAGCTAGTCTTCAGAAACTTTAACTCTCATGAGAGAAGAATGAATGGAATTTCATTTGATTGTGCTAATACGAAACCTATACTTGAACCACGAGGCAGTTGTCAGAACAAAGCAGACACTACATGGTTCAAAATCAGGAAGGATGTACACCAGGGTTGTATTCTGTCTTCATACCTTTTTAATTATATGCAGAACAGATGATCTGGGAGACTGGCCTGTATGATGAATAATGTGACATCAGGATTGGAGGAAGATTCATCAACAACCTATGTTATGCATATGACACAACCCTGCTTGATGAAACTAAGGAAGACCTGAAGTGCTTGCTGCAGAAGAGCAAAGACATTCAATATGGATTAATGCTCAACATCTAGAAAACAAAGATTCTCATCACTGGGCCAATTGGCAGCATCATTATGGATGGAGAAGAGATTGAGATTGTTAATAGCTTTAGTTTGCGTGGCTCCACAATCAACACTCTTGGTACCAGCCACCAGGAAATCAAGAGACGAATTGCTTTGGGAAAGTTGACTGTCAGGGACCTCTCCAGAATAACAAAGAGGAACGATATCAGTCTGGAGACTAAGGTGCATCTCATTCAGGCCATAGTCTTCGCAGTTGCTTGCTGGACAATGACTAGGAATGATAGATAATTGATGTGCTAGAGAAGAGTGTTGAACATAGCATGGACTTCGAGGAGAACAAACAGGTTCATCCTGGAGAAGGTTAAACCAGGCTGCTTCTTGGAGGCAAGGATTCTGCAACTTCGTCTGACATACTTTGGACATATTACCAGGTAGGGCCAGTTCTTGGAGTGGGACATCATGTTTGGGAGGGTAGAAGGACAGCACAGGAGAGGAAGACCCTCGATGAGATGGATTGATTCAGTGACTGGGGCAAGGGGGTAGGTGTGTCAGGGACAGTAAGGTTGGCACAGGATAAAGCATGGTTTAGGGTTCTGGTACATCGGGTTGCTATGAGTTGCAAGTGATCTGACAGCACATAACAACAGTAGTTTGTAGGAAGCCCTGGTAGTTTAGTGTTAAGAAATTGGACTGCCAACCCAAAGACATGCAGTTTGAATCCACCAGCTGCTCCATGGGAGAAAGATGGGTGGTCTCCACCTGTGCTATTTATAGCCTCTAAATACCTGCTAGAGTGTCAGCTTGAAGTCAGTTCTGAATTGAACCACTTGTTGTTGGGTTGGCAGTGCAATTCCTTACACTCTAGAACTCTCTCAGGCCACTAGAGCTTTCCTAAGGAGTAGAAACTATTAGCTCTATCTAGACTGATCACAATCGTCTGACATACTTTGGACATGTTGCCAGGAGGGATGGGTCCTTGGAGAGGGACACCATGCTTGGGAGGGTGGAGGGACAGTGCAGGAGGGGAAGACCCTCTATGAGATGGATCGCCTCAGTGACTGGGGTAATTGGGATGGGTGTGTCAGAGGCAGTGCGGTTGGCGTAGGATAGAGCAGGGTTTAGGGCTGTTGTGCATAGGGTCGCTATGAGTCGGAAACGACTTGACGGCACATAACAACAACAAGACTGATCACTGCTTCAGTGTGACCTACCAAATCTTAAAGAGCCACACATGCTTCAAAATTGTTTACACATCATTTAACTATATGGCAGTCTAAAGTTTAATAATATTTATAGGTATATAAAAATATCCAACAACTCAAAAAGTGCAGTTTATAGTATCTGACAACAGTTAAAACTTAACAAACTGATAGACAAAAGGAAAATAAAACTCATAATGAGAAAAATCAGTCACTGTCCAAAACTGAAGCAGATGACACAATCAACGGAGAAGACCATTAAAACGGTTTTAATTGTATTCCATATGATTTTTTTAAAAAGTCAAATAACTCTAATCAAATACACAATCACAAGTGGTAGTAACGATGTAGAAAAGGTGGAGTTCTTTCATTTCTGATGGGAAGATAAAATAGTGTATCTACTTTGAAAAAGTCTGGCAGTTTCCCAAAAGGCAAAATCTAGATCACTCATAATTCCATTACTAGAAAAATGAAAACGTATGCCCACATAAAACCATGTACATGTTGGTTTAGAGAGCTATTTCTCAAAAGTCAACAAGTGGAAATAACACACATACTCATTAACTTGTTAATGGAAAAACAATATGTACTATATGCACATTCAATGGAATATTTGACAAGAAAAGAGGATGAAGTACTAACACATACTATAACATGGATGAACATTGAAATACTATAGCACATGAGACACTACATGGTTCAAAATCAGGAAGGGGGTTCGTCAGGGATATATTCTGTCTCCATACCTTTTCAATCTGTATGCAGAACAGATCATCCAAGATGCTGGGATATACGAAGAGGAATGTGGCATCAGGATTGGTGGAAGAATCATCAACAGTCTGCGTTACGCAGATGACACAACTCTGCTTGCTGAAACTGTGGAGGACCTGAAGCGCTTGCTGCAGAAGATCAAGGACTACAGCCTCCTATATGGACTGAAGGTCAACATCAAGAAAACAAAGACTCTCACCACTGGGCCAATTGGCAGCATCAGTATGGATGGTGAAGAGATTGAGATAGTTAACAGTTTTAGTTTACTTGGCTCCACAGTCAACACTCTTGGTAACAGCAGCCAGGAAATCAAGAGACGAATTGCATTGGGAAAGTCAGCTGTGAGGGACCTTCCAAGAGCACTGAAGAGCAATGATGTCAGACTGGAGACTAAGGTGCGCCTGATCTGGACTATAGTCTTCGCAATTACGTGCTATGCATCAGAGAGTTGGACAGTGACTAGGGTTGATAGAAAGATAATTGATGCCTTTGAGCTGTAGTGCTGGAGACGAGTGTTGAATATACATACCATGGAGTGTTAGGAGAAGAAACAGGTTTGTCCTGGAGAGGCTGAAGCCAGACTGTTCCCTGGAGTCAAGGATTCTGAAGCTTTGTCTGACATATTTTGGGCATGTTGCAAGGAGGGACTAATCCTTAGAGAGGGACATCATGTTTGGCAGAGTGGAGGGGCGGCGAAGGAGAGGAAGACTTTTGATGAGATG